TTCGTTCAAATAATTCCTAACGAATTATATATAATAATATAATAATAATGAACGGAGATACAGTAAGATGTTAATAATACAAACTAAACAAACCACGTGACAGAAAGGTAAGTGTGTGTGTGTTATGCAGGAACGGAGGTCACCGCTCGCAAGGTTTTCGGATTTTTTTTTCCCCAAGGGGGAAGCTGGTGGTGGCGACATCCAAAGTTGTGCGGTTGTGGCGCTTGGTGGCTGCCGCGATTGAAAAGCAACAACAGCAGCAGCAGCGACAACAATAAAACAAGTTTATAATTCCGTACAACACCCCTATCACCTCCACCACCCCCCCCCCTCCACCTTCGGCAAGAATGGCGATCAGTGGGGCCCTCGGTGGCGAGATGATGAGATGGAAGGGGTGGCCTTGATGGGTGTGGCGACGTGGTGGATGGAGTGTCCTGCAAGGAGGGTGGGTGGGGGGGGCAGGTGATTTGGTAGGTGGTAAATATGATAGATGGGAGGATTGTAGGTAGCGGTGTGTGGTGAGTGTGATGTGGTGAGCGGTGGGTGTGGTGGAGGGGGGGGGGGGGGGGCTGGCGAGGTGGTAGATGGAAGGGTTGCGGTTGTAGGGTGGTGGTGGTGTGATGTGGTGTGATGGGTGGGGAGTGCAAGAGCGGGGGTGATGTGCTGAGCAGCGGGTGTGGTGCAAGGGCTGGCTGGTGAGTTGATAGGTGGTGAGATGGACAAGTGTGTTGGGGTTGGAGATGAGAATCGGAATCTTTATTTATCCTGGAGAAATCCGACGAGCTATGAAGCTCAAAATCTTGACTTTTTAAAACGAAGGCGAGTTGGTAACCCATAAAGCTCTTCTTCACAGACGTCCAGACGGTGGTAGTGGTGTGATGAGTGGCAGGTGGAGTGGTGAGATTGAGTTGCGGTCGGCTCTGAAGCAGCACATGGCGATGGGACGATGACGGGTGGAGGTAATCGATGCGCCGACCAGTAAACCGCTCGAGCGACGTGGTACAATGGTGCGGAGGACAGAGCGCAAGGCCGGTGGGAACAAAGTGACGGGCGAAGGGGGGGTTGTGGGGGCGCCGTAACGGGCAACATTCAACCCTAGAAACTTGTCGTCCGGAGAGGGCGAGCGCCTAAAACGTTCAGCTTTGGTTGATTACTGTCTCGTAGTACTCGGCTATATTTGTACAAAAAAACGAGGGCAAGTTGGTGACAAGAGGACTCGACGAAGCACGGAGGAGGCACAGGGAGGCTGTGCTGCCACGGTGCCGGTGCAAAGCGGGCACGTGAGCAGAGTCACAACGGCGTCACAACGAAGCTTTTTTCCGACCTTGTCCCAATCGCATCCCCCCCCCTCCCACCTCTATCCCACCCCCCCCCCACCCCCCCCCCCCCCCCCATTAAATTTCCCCGATTTGTTTTGAAAAGTTTTGCAAACGTTTGTTCTGCGATTCCACGTCTTGGCTTGGCTTAATTGGTCAATTAAAGCGCCGGTTCGTGCGGGCGATTTTCCGTTTGTTTCGGCACACGGTTGTGAATAGCAAGTGGCGGGCTTTTATTGAACGTGCGATGCGCCTGCGATGATTGGTGGGGTGATTGGTGGTGCAAGCCATTTGTCATCTTTGCCGCATGATAGTGCTACTTCGGAGTGCACGATCTGGCGGTGATCATAGCAGTGATGGGAGTGGTGGCAGATTGTGCTGGTGGTGACAGCGGCAAAAGATGGTTGTGACGGCGACAGCGGTAGTAGCGGTGACGTTGATAGCGGCGACGGTGGTAGTAGGTGGCGACGTTGATAGGGGCGACGGTGGTAGCGGTGACGTTGATAGCGGCGACTGTGGTAGCGGTGACGTTGATAGCGGCGACGGTGGTAGTAGGTGGTGACGTTGATAGGGGCGACGGTGGTAGTAGGTGGTGACGTTGATAGCGGCGACGGTGGTAGCGGTGACGTTGATAGGGGCGACGGTGGTAGTAGGTGGTGACGTTGATAGGGGCGACGGTGGTAGCGGTGACGGTGATCGGGGCGACGGCGATAGTAGGCGGCGGCGTTAATATGGGCGACGGTGGTAGCGGTGATGGTGGTAAGAGTGGACGGTGGTAGCGGTGACGTTGATAGGGGTGACCGTGGTAAGAGTGGACGGTGGTAGCGGTTATGGTGGCAGGGGTCACGTTGATCGAGGGGCGACGGTGGCGACGCCGGTAGCGGTCGCGCGTTCCAAAGCAGTCGCGGGAGCGGTGCCAAAGACAGCGGGGAGGGCTTAGCCGACGCGCAAAATCCTGGCAACTCGTCGCGACAGAGCCTGCCGCGCTTCATGGCATTGAAGAGATAAAAGAAACGATGTGAAATTAAATAACGGTTAATAGTTATAAAAATGCGATTAAATGAGAACACATTTTAATGTTTCGTGCGCCACGGAATTTCGGCGGCGATGGATCGTCTATTATAAATGGTAACGACTTTATTTTACAAAAGAAAACGCTAAAAATATGCGTACAGCGCCTGCATTTAAACAACGTGGTATATCGCAACTTATACAAGCAATTACTCATGCTGTGGCTATCTTAATTGTATTGCTGCAGTGATAAAAGAAGGGGAGAGAGATTAAAAAGATATATATTTTGTCTCAATGTTAATCGGGTTTCTCTTTTACACGTGAGTGGCGTAACGAAGTTTAAAAGTGTACGTGTGGCATCTGCACTTCATACGAAATAAAAAAAAATGACAAAACGAAGACGCCGGCGCGGCGATGAACGTGACACAGGGTCTGCGATGGCGTGCACCGCGCGGGGGGGTCACGTGTGACACCGCGCGGGGGGTCACGTGTGACACCGCGGGGGGGTCACGTGTGACACCGCGCGGGGGTCACGTGTGAGACCGCGGGGGTCACGCGGCGTGAACGAGCATCGGTAAAATACTGCAAACGGGCGGGCAGGCGGGCGGGTGCTCATTGTTTTTGTATTTTAAAAGCTGATACTCTTGTGGGCCAGTAGTAGCCCCCCCCCCCGAGTAACCTTCTTCCTTGTAACTGTGTTCAAACAAAAATCCGTCGGAAGTTGTTCTTGGATTTTTTTCTCTTTCTCTCCATCGAATAGTCCTTCCCACCGAGTTGTCTTTTGTCTTTCACGTTTGTCATCTTCTTTGGTTTCAGAGCGAGTGATTTGCAATTGCGTTGTATTTGTCATCATCGTATTCCTCATTCCAACATCCTCCCACCTCTTCCCCCCCCTCCCCCCCCCCACAACAATTCATTATTCTCCACCAAATTAGCTTTTTTTTTCGTCATTTTATATTTTTTTCTAACAATAATAATTCATATCTTCTATTATTATTTTAGTTTTCACCCCGCAAGTGTTCGTTTTATTTATTAATTCATTATTTGGCGCCACAGTTTGCAACAACAACAACAACAAAAAAAAGCTATGTGCTGCTAGAAGTACGCATCTCGGGAAAAAAAAAAAAATACACAGCCGGATTCATCCCCCTCCCGTCTCTCTTCTCTCTCCCGTCTCCCGGAACGTCTTCCCCAACTCCCCCGGCATTTTTCGGCGAATGCACTTGGCCAACGGCAATTTCCCGCTCCGTAAAAAATAAAAAATAATAATATTGTAATCTGGCCGCTGACCGCCCACCTCACCAGCACTCCTCCTGCTCCTCCTCCTCTGCCACCCCCCCCCACCCCTTGCACGGGGGGGGGGTAAAAAAGAACAAAACAACTTCATTTAGCGTCAATCCGTAAGCGAAGTGGCTCTATGGTGCACGCAGCCCTCACACAATTCATAACGAAACTAATACCGATAATGATGATAATATAAGAATAAAGAATAAGTAAAAGAAGACGATGATGATAACGACGACGACGACGACGATTATATAAATGGCACCATGACAAATGTTTTGAGGGGGAGGGGGGGGGGGAGCCATCAAAGTGGATCCCCACCAGCACCACCCCCCCCCCCACAACCACCACCCCCCCCACCACCACCACCACCCACCCCCCCACCACCGGCTTTACGTGATAAAAAGGGGAGACGGAGACACGGCTGGGCCGGGCGGGTGAACGCATCGCACGCGCCTCACGTGTACGCGATGCGTTTAAAAAATCAAATAAAACAGAAACCCGATGTTAAAGCAATTCACGAGCCGTGAAAGTAAAAAAGAAAGCGTCCATATCTGCGCAACCCCCTTCACGATCTTAAAACAGCGGCTTTGAAAGCCCGATTCTCCCCCCCCACACAAACCCCGTGTCCCTCCTCGCACAGGAGCCCGAGGAGCGCTTAGCACTACAACGGCAACGCGCGCACACACGTGTAACATACACACGCGTGTAACATACATACACACGCGTGTGACATACATACACACGCGTGTAACATACATACACACGCGTGTAACATACATACACACGCGTGTAACATACATACATAACGCTCCCGAGACGTTCACGACTGGCACCGACCTCATTTCATATTTGGTTCAGATTTGTTTTGTTAACGACCCTCATAGAGACGGCTTTTAAACATCATTAACGGTTACCTCTCGGCACAGCAATACTGATCCTTCATTTCATGATTATTGTTGTTTTTTTATCGACTTCCTACATATACGTCTCCCCCCCCCCTCTTCCTTTTCCTTTATTAAACAAACCACGGATCTTTGGCAGAAAGCGCTGAACACGTGGAGATAGTGAGAAGAGGTCATTGCTTTGTGGTTTTTAAACCGAGTTCAAACAACGACGTTGGAAACGAACGGCGAGTAAAACGCAGGGGAAGAGAAATGAAAGAAACGCTCTCTTGCACCCTTTTTTCTTAGTTTAGTGCCGCCATGCCCTGTGCTTCAATAAAGCCACGCGACAGCCACAGCCTGCACAAAATATATATATAATGTACACAACTGCGCATGCCGCAGTGCGGCGTCATTCAAATACATACAAAGCAAAAGTTGGGCAGTTATACGTAAAACGTGATTCGTAATAAAGTCTTTTTTTTGTGTGTGTGTGTGTGTTTTACCGTCATTGTAATTTCTCTCTCTTTTTTTTTTGTCGTTTCATTTTTTTGGTAGCAGGTGAGGAACGCAGAGAGGGAGAGAGACCAAGAGACGGACAGAGAGAGACAGAGAGACAGAGAGTCGGGGAAGGAGAGAAGGGAGGACCACGAGAAGTGTTTCTTTTTTTTTTGTCTCACGCGCCAAGGGGGGAAGAAGGTGAGGTAGCAGATCAAGCAAAGCGTGTCCGAGGTAAGTGGCATAGCCCGACTGTCAAAGAAAGGAAGCTCTTTGGCATTCCGCTCCGACGAACCCATTGGCGTGCAACTCCTCGCCGACAAGCAGGAACCTTCACCAACCGCCGAGTCGTCGTTTATCCGTAGGGGCGTTCAAAATTTCGCGGCGCGCTCTCAAACGCTACCGTTTGCCGCTATTAGTATCGATTCGTCGTTCCCTCTTTGCGTCGCGTGCTTTTCGTTGTACGTTCTAAACGCGTCGGCGACTCCGCTCTGACGTCGTGCTCGCCGCCCCCCCCCCCCGACGTCGTTCCATCACTTTTGTTTTTTCCCCTCTCGCGGAATTGGCGCCGTTCAAAAGTCCGCTCGTCCCCGTCGAGGTTTGCCGTCGCGGGCCGTTGTTCGTCCCAGCGAGGGAATTAATGCCCTTGCGAGCAGTGTCTCCTTCACTCACACGCCCGACGCGCCTACCCCCCCCCCCACTTCCCCCCCAACCCCGCCATCCCTCCTCGCCCACGACCAAACATCCGACTCGCGAAAGGCGGGAAGGGGGACACGGACGAAGATCAACGACGGGAATCGTTTCATCTCCATCGCCGAAACGCGCCCAGTAGTTCAGGGCCCAAGGAAGATCGAACAATCGGCTGATTGCCCGCCCGCCCGCCCGCCCGCCCGCCCACCCTCCCCTCTTCCTTCATTGGCAAGAAAAAAAAGTGTGACTACATTCGGCGCTCGGTTCTCTTAACGAGAACGTAGACGTTCCTTGCGCCAACAACAACAAAAACAGGAGAGTGAAGAGCAAAGCAACTCGGCGGCCGAGACGAAATGCGGTCGGGTCACCGGGTCACCGGGTCACCGGATCACCGGGTCACCGGGTCAGACGCTCTTCGGAGGGGCAGACGAGGGGTCGCATTGTTGCGCCTAAGCGTCCGACGTCTTGCTCTCAGTCGTCTTGGCCACCTTGCTGGGCCGCGAGGCCTCCCCCTCCGCCGCCTCCATCCGCTCGTCCCCACGCCGCGCGTGATGGTTGCGCTGCCTCCGCCCGCCCTCCCGGCCGCCCTCCGACGGACTTGGCTGCTGCTGTTGCTGCTGCTGTTGTTGCTGCTGCTGCTGGAGCTGCTGCTGCTGCTCCTGCTGCTGAAGCTGCTGCCCACCTAGGACCTCCTGCAGCGCCTGCTGGTACTGGCGCTGCCACTGCATGAGGGCGGCGCTCGTGTTGGCACCGTAGCGCAGAGCGTCCGCGTTGCCGCCGCCGCCGCCGCCGCCGCCGCCTCCTCCGAAGTACGCCAGCGGCAGCTGCGACGTGTAGTACGCGCCGTAGCCCGGCATCAGGTAGGGCAGGTACTGCCCGGCGAGGAGGGCGGCCGCCGTCGCCGCCGCATTGGCGTCCGCCGGTTCGGGGCCGGCGCCGCTGCTGCCGCCGGCCGCGGCCTCGCCCAGCGACGAGCCCAGCGCCGCCGCGGCCGCGGCCGCCGCCCTCTCCACCGCCTTTTCCTTTTTGCTGGATTCAGAGCTCCTCTCTGACCTCTCCTTGCGGTCTCGGGGCTGGTGCTGCTGCTGCTGCTGGTGGTGGTGGTGCTGCTGCGGCTGCTGCGGTTGAAGCAGCAGCGACGACGACGACGTGGGAGGCAGCTCCGACAGCGACGACGCCGCCGCCATCTTCGCCGACAGGGCGGCCGACTTGGACGACGCAAAGTGGCTGGAGGAAGGGGAGGGGGAAGCGGCGGCGGCGTTCTTCGCCGAGCTGCCGCCGCCCGTCGGCGACGTCAACGACGACGAACCGTGCTTTGGCCGCGGTAACGCCGCCGGCGAGGAAGAAGAGAAGGTCGGCGTCACGAGCTTGGGTGGCGGCGCAGCGGCGTCGGGGACCGGCGTGACGAGGCGCACGGGGACCGGAGCGATGGCCGGGGGACCCGGCGCGGCGCCGACTCGGAGCCACGGCGAGGAGGACGAGGACGTGGACGACGAGGTGACGGCGGTGGCGGCGGTGCCGCCGGGCGCCGGCGCCTTGGGAGAGGTGGTGGCCGAGCGGACGAGCTTGGGGAGGCTCGCGGTCTTGGGCGCCGACTCGGACGCCGGCGATGACTTTGCCGGGACGGCTGCGGCAAGGGGTGAAGGGAGAAGACGGAGACGAGTGAGAGGAGCGGCGCGGCGGGGGCACGGGTGACCACGGCAGCAGCAGCACGAGTCATAACAGCAGGCGCAACACCAACAGCAGCAACACCAACAGCAGCAACACCAACAGCAGCAACAACAACAGCAGCAACACCAACAGCAGCAACACCAACAGCAGCAACACCAACAGCAGCAACACCAACAGCAGCAACACCAACAGCAGCAACACCAACAGCAGCAACACCAACAGCAGCAACACCAACAGCAGCAACACCAACAGCAGCAACAACAACAGCAGCAACAACAACAGCAGCAACACCAACAGCAGCAACAACAACAGCAGCGGCGGTGGTGGTGGTGGCAACAGCAGCGGCGGCAGAGGCAAGAATTGCCCGAGCGTATCATGTCCTCAGTGTCCGTGCCAGGAATGGTCCCACCGGGAGGTGACGTGGGTTTAACAGATAGTAGTAGTAGTAGGCTCTTGCGACCAATATTATTCATAATAAAGGTTTTTTTTTTTGGATTAGATCGCGTAAATATGGATGTGTCGTTAAATCCGCCACCACCTGACACAGCCAATTGGTAAGGTTTTGTCACGTAAACAAAACGTGCCAACACCAGTGTGTTGGAGAGTAAACCCACAACATTTACAATTCGAGGATGACGTTACGCCGGTAATTACAACAACAAGCCTCGCGTAATAACAAACGTGTCGTTACCGCGATCTAACCAAAGAAACCTTTGCTGATAACGCGACGGGGCCCAAGGCCCTTTGGCACGTCACTGTTTGACCCCCCCACCACCACCACCATCTCTGATCGCGCGACCAGCGTCGCGAAGTCACGAGAGCAACGTGCGATGACGACGACGACCCCTTGGGCGACGGGGAGAACGGCCCGCCGCCAAAAAAATCCGCAGAGAGCTCCCTCCCCTGCCGAGACCCCTCCTTGAAGCGACCCTCTCTCCGCTGCTGGTGTGTGTGCGGGGTAGCCGACCACGACGAGGGGCCAGGGAGAGGAGCGACTACCGGCGGAGGGCCGCACCTCAATTAGAATCGAACTGGAGGAATCCGATGAGCTAAAAAGCTCTTTTTCGCAGGTGTCCACACCCGGCCGGCTCGGCCGGTGTACGTCCGTACGCGTCGTCGCCTCTCGCCTGCCATCGCGCGCAAACTCACCCCTTCACGGTGCACGAGTCAACGGTACACGTTGCTTTGCTATTCAAAGTAAGCATATGTATAAATAACCCAAACTGGAATGGGTACCCATAGTCATTTATATGCATTAATTAATCCCGCCCCCACTCCTCGCAAGAAGAGCGCCCAATTGTTGTCATCTAAGGAACGAAACAGGAGGACTTCTCCACAAATCTGGCTGTCGCCTGATGAAGCTGGTTGTAATTACTGGCGAAACGTCGTACTCGGATTGTAAATGTTGTGGCTTGGCTCTCCAACACACCAGTGATGCTGTACTAGTACACTACACTATACACTACACTACTATACACTACACTATACACTACTATATACTACACTATACACTACACTATACACTACACTACTATACACTGCACTATACACTACACACTAGTGCTCTACTAGTACACTACACTACTATACACTGCACTATACACTACACACTAGTGCTCTACTAGTACACTACACTATACACTACACAATACACTACACTATACACTACACTATACACTACACTATACACTACACTACTATACACTACACTACTATACACTACACTACTATACACTACACACTACACAATACACTACACTACTATACACTACACAATACACTACACTATACACTACACTACTATACACTACACTATACAATACACTACACGCTAGTGCTGTACTAGTGACGAATTAACCACGTTCTGTTTACGTGACAACCCTTACTAGTTTGCTGTGTCGGGTGGTGGCGGGTTTAACGACACAACATTTATATATTTACGTGATCAAACCCAAAAACCCGTATTATGGATGATGTTTTATATGCTCCAGTTTCAAGTACATTTTTGCTCAGCCAGGTGGGAACCCTATAAAGACCAGTCTCATTTGCAAGAGTGAGTAACCTGGGTAACCGAAACAACTAAACCCTTAACAAATATCACGATAACAAATACAGCGATGAAGCGAGATCAAAAAAAAACTGTTACTGCAGTGCAGGAGAAATAGAAAACGCCGCACAACAACCACTCGCCCACACATTCCAAAAGTTGGACATTAGCCTTCATTTGACATCACCGGTAAAGCGTCGTGAGACGCTCGCAAATTGATGCGCAGTGCGCTACGCGAAAACTGAGCAGCGACTAACTGACGTACCCAGGATGTGCCCAGGCAGCGCTACGCGCAGACGACTCCGAACGAAATTACCAAAAGACGGCGTCGCCAAATAACACGGGCGCAAACCTACCGGACGCTGCCATCTCCTGCCCGCTCACGGCAAAGGGGAGGACGCCGGCATTCACCGCCACCTCCGTCTCCCCGCCGCCGCCGCCGCCACCGCCGCCGCCGCCATCGGCCTGCGCCTGCTTGGGCCGGATCTCGGGCAGGTGCGGGCTGGCGGTCGGCAGGCACAGCCTCTTGGCCTTCTCGCGCGTCTCCTTCTCGGCCTCCATCTGCTGTCGGAAGCCCTCGCGGAGGCGCGCGATGTGCTGCAGCGAGAACACGTGCTCCTGCACCGACAGCTTGGCGCTGTAGCGCACGCAGCACAGGCCGCACGCCGTCTTGGGCCCGCTGTCCGACCCCAGCGAGCCCACGACGGGCGAGGTGGCGCCGGTCGGCGTAGTCGCGCCGCCGGAGCCGCCGCCGCCGCCGCCGCCGGCCGCCGGCGAGGCGGAATCCGGCACGTTGCGCTGGGCCTTCTTCTCCTTGGCACGCGCATTCTGGAACCAGATCTGCACGACGCGCTTCTCCAAGCCGATCTCCTTGCCCAGCGAGCTGCACTCGTGCACCGAGGGGGTGCGCCACTCGCCGTAGCAGGCGCGCATCACCGCCAGCTGCATGCTGCTGATGTGCGTGCGCCGCCGCCGCCCGCTCGGGTGGTCGCCCGAGCCCCAGTCGCCGCCGCCGCCCGACACGGGGCTCAGCGAGCAGGGGTCCTCGGACGCGCCCTCCGACGACTCCTCGACGCGCGCCACCCCGCCGTGCTTCGCTTCCGACGCCGACACCGACGGGAGGGCCGCCAGCGCCGCCGCCGCCGCCGCGGCAGCCGCCTCCGCGGCCGCGCGAGGCGGGGGAGCGACGGGAGGAGACGCGGGCGGCTGCCTCTCCCCGCCGGTGGCCGACGCGGCGGCCGGGACGGCCGGGTTCTCGATGTCGGCGATGATGCCCTCCACCTTCAGCATGGACGGGCTGAGCTGCGGCGGCGGGGAGTAGGTGCCGCGGTGGCCCGACGGCGCCTTCGACACCGCGACCGCCGTCGCCGCCGCGGCCGCCGTCTCGTCGGGCGGGGAGGCCAGGCCGCCGTTGTCGGGTGCCGGCGCCGCCGCCGCCGCCGCCGTGGTCGACTCGGCGCCGTGCTGCGTCTGCACGTGATCGTCCAGCAGGGCCTGGTCCTTGAACAGGATGTGGCAAAAGGGGCAACGGCGCTTCAGGAGGGGCCGCCACTGTCCGTGAGGCGCCGACGGCTGGGCGTGGGCGGCGGTGGAGGACTGCGGCGGCGGCGCCGCCTTGGGCTCGCCGCGCACGCTCTGGAACCAGGCCTGCAGGAGCGCGTGCCTCTTGGCCGACTCGTCCTCCGACGCCTGTCCCGGCTGCACGGCGTCCAGGGAATACTTCTGGTAGAGCGTCTTGAGTTCCTCAAGCGACAGCGACGTGTTGGGGAACTTCACCCGCTCCACCTCGTCCGAGCCGGCAGCCTTCGCTGTCAGGTCCACGCCGTCGGGCGGGGCTTGCGCGGCCGCCGCCGCCGCCGCCGCCGCCGGCTGCGCCGCCGCCCTCACCGGGTGCTTGTCGCTCCGCGCCAGCTGCTTTCCCTCCGACGCCAGGCTCTGCAGCTTGAGCAGGTGGCAGCGCTGGTGCTCCTGCCAGCGCTCGAAGTTGACAAAGCTCAGCTTGCACGAGTCGCACTGGTAAGCGCCGGCGGTGGCCGCCGCGAGCGCCGCCGCGGACACCGCTCCGGGGGCCTCCGACTTCGGCCTCTTGTCGGTCCTCGGCTCGGGCCTGCGATCGCTGCCTTCGGCCGCCGCCTCCTCCACGCGCTCCGTCTTGATCTTGGTCTTCATCACCACCTCCTTGGCACCGTCTCTCTTCGACGACGGCACGCACGCCGCCCCCATCCCCGCCGCGGCCGCTGCCGCCGCCGCCGCCGCGGCCGCCGGCGCCTGGACGGACGGCAGCAGCATGGGCCCGAGCGCCGATGCGTTCTGCGCGCTCAGGATCTGCATCAGCCGCTCGCCGGCAACGTCCGCCCTCTCCTCGCACTTCAGGGAGCCCTTCCTGTGCGTCGCCGCCGCCGCCGCCGCCGCCGCCTGCTCGCCGCCCCTGTCCTTCGCCGCGTCGGCGCCCGAGCCGTGCCTCTGCGTGGCTCCCGCCGTCTGCGACAGCGGCAACGGCGAAAGCGGCAGAGGAGGCGGCGGCAGCGGCTGCAGCCCCGGCGGCGGCGGCGAACCCTGGCCGGCGCTTCCGGGCTGCCCGTCCGAGTGGCGCCGCGCCTTCTGTCGCATGTGCTGGAACCAGTACTTGAGGGCGACGCGCGGGTGGTTGAGGTACGTCGACAGCTGCTGCAGTTCCTTGTCCTTGGGGTAGGGATTGGCGTTGAAGCAGTGCATGAGCACGCGCAGCTGCTCGTCCGAGAAGCGTGTCCGGTTCAGCTGCTTCGACTTCTGGTCCAGCGCCTCGGCCGACGCCAGGTGCTCCGACTCCGCGGCGGCGACCGCGGCGGCGGCCGCGGCCGCCGCCGCCGAGATGTCCACCGCCGCCACCGCGGCCAGCGCCGCCGCCGACGACACCGTCGTCGCGGTCGACGACGACGACGCCGACGCCGCGGGCGACTCGGCCTTCACCGAGTCGAGCCGGGCCCAGCCGCGGTCGCCCGAGCCGGAGTCGCGCCAGTCCGAGTCCTTGCCGAGCTCGCGCTGCTTGCGGTAGCGCTGCCGCGCGTTCTGGAACCACAGCACGATGGTGCACGCCGGAAGGCCCAGCAGGCCGGACAGCCGCTTGATCTCGTCCTCCTTCGGGTAGGCGTTGAGCTGAAAAGACTCGCGCATGGCGCGCACCTGGTAGTCCTTGAAAGTGGTGCGCTTCGAGCGCTTGTACGGCGCCGGCTCCTCCGACTTGGACGAGCCCGACGACTCGAGGGCGCTGTCGTCGAGGTGGGCCTCGCTCTTGCACACCGTGACGCCCGGCGGCTCCGCCCGGGCCGTCTCCCGGCCCCTCGAGTTGGTGACGCCCCCCCCGCCGCCACTCTCCGCTCGCGGTGTGCCGCCTGTCTTATCCGCCTTCTGACTTCTCCTCTCTGTCGCTGGCTGCTGCTGTTGCTGCTGCTGCTGTTGCTGCTGTTGCTGCTGCTGGTGCTGTGGTGTGGATTTTGAGAGATGCTCGCTTCTGTTCGAGTGTTCGAGTTTCTTCACCTCTCGCGCGTGCGAGTCCGCCACCGCGTCCCTGTCGCCCGACCTCACCTTCGTCCTGCTTTCTTGAGCGGAGCTCCCAGAACGCTTTCCCTCCAAGCGCGCCGGCCCAATGGGATCGGCGTGACGATGCTGCTGCTGCTGGTGCTGGTGGTGGTGTTGGTGGTGCTGGTGATGTTGTTGCTGTTGCTGCTGCTGCTGCTGTTGCTGCTGCTGCTGCTGTTGCTGCTGCTGCTGCTGTTGTTTTTGGAGCTTCGTGAGATCGAGGGGTGCGAGCGGTTCTGGAACGAGCGAGAACTGCTGCAAAAGCTGCTGGGGAAGTGTTGCGAACGGCACCTGCAGCATCAGGTGAGCGAACGCCGCCATGTCCATGCCCGCCACAGACTCATGCTGCTGCTGCGCTGCCTGCTGCGCTGCCTGCTGCGCTGCCTGCTGCGCTGCCTGCTGCGCTGCCTGTTGCGCTGCCTGCTGCTGCTGCTGCTGATGATGATGATGCTGCTGCTGCTGTTGCACAGCCTTGGTGGTCGACGACACCATCGTGGAAGACGGCGCCGATGTCGTCACTGGAACCGCAGCGTTCGCAGCGGTGGACTCGGCCGCGCGGCCCTGCTTGGCCTCGCCCTGCTGCCCGCCGCTCGCCGACGCGGCCGGCGCCGCCTGCGATGACGACGCCGCGGCCGCCGTCGCCGCTGGCGGCGGCGGCGGCGGCGGCGGCGGCTCGGGCGCTCGCTGCTCAACGGTGCTCACCGCCACCTCCTCGAGCGGGTAGATGCGGTCGTAGACCTCGCGGTAGCGCTTGGCGTACTTGGCGAGCTCGTCGAAGGGCAGGATCTGCTTGTGCGCGTGCTCCTGGTGGCATTTCAGGATGAGCGCGTTGGAGAAGAGGCGCCGGCACGTGCCGCACTCCAGCTTGTCGCCGATGCTGCGCTCCCGGACGTCGCCGTGCCGCGGCGGCCGCTTGCGCCCCTCGATGAACTGCACCACCAGCTCGAAGCCGACGTTCGCGAGCAGCGCCTTCGAAGCGTTGCCCGTGTAGCCGAAGGGGACGCGTGCCGGCAGCAGGCCGTCCTCTCCGCCAGCGCCGCTCTTCCACGTGGCGCCAGCCTCGTCCAATGCTTTGCCCGCGTCCGTGGGTTCGGGCACCACGCCGGAGGCAGTGGCGGCGGCGCCGGTCCTCCTCGACGCCTCGTCCGTGCCGGGGTCGCTCGTCGTATCCGGCACCAGCTTGTATTTTTCTGTCGCCGCCGCTGCAACTACCGCTTTGTGGCTGTGTTCGGCCGCTTGTCCGACCGACGGTTGCTTTTGCGACGGTGCCTCCGCACGGCCGGTGGACGGGGACAGCGCGGACGCCTGCGCCGCGCCGTTGCCGCCGCCGCCGCCGCTTCCGCTCGCCATCGTCGGGCTGAACTGGAACTCGAGCCCCGGGTAGTAGTACTGCAGCAAGAGCTGCTGCTGCTGCTGGTACTGCACGAGCGCCTCGGGCGACAGCAGCAGGTGCGAGAAGTATGCCTGCTGCAGCAGCTGCTGCTGCAGCATGGCCGCCTGCTGCAGCTCCTGCTGCGTCTGCACCTGGGCCTGCAGCCAGGCCTGCGCCTGGGCCTCCGCCTCGGCCTGGGCGTGGGCGTGAGCCTCGGCCTCGGCTTTGAGCCGCGAGCTCGACGGCTCGGGCCACGCGTCCTGGCGGGCGTGCGAGTCGCCCCCACGCGACGCCTTAGATGAGCGGCCCTGCGAGAATTCCTGCGACGTCGACTGGTGCTGCTGCTGCTGCTGTTGCTGCTGCTGTTGTTGTTGCTGCTGCTGCTGCTGCTGTTGTTGTTGCTGCTGCTGCTGTTGTTGTTGTTGTTGCTGCTGTTGTTGTTGTTGCTGCTGCTGCTGTTGATGTTGCTGCTGCTGTTGTTGCTGGTGCTGCAGCTGCTGTTGGTAGTGGTGGTACTGAAGCTGCTGACTCAGGCGCTCCGTTTTCCTCTTGGCGTCTGACTCGCGAGGCTTCCTCGACTTGAGCGACAGGTCCATCACCTCCACGACGTCGTGATCGTCGCCGTACCCCGGCAAGCGGCCGCCGCCTTCCCTGGCCGAGTGCCGCCCCTCCTGCTTCACGGTGGCGGCGGCGGCCAGGGGCGGCGGCGGCACCGCCGGTGCCACTGCCGCATCACCTTGCGCGCCGTCGCCGGCCGACTCGGCCGCCGCCTTCTTCACCTTGTGCAGGTGCGACACCGAGTTGAGGTGGCAGTCGAGGATGCTCTGCTGCGTGAACGACTCGACGCACACGTTGCACTTGAACGGCCGCGCCGGGTCCAGGAACTTCATGAGCAGCACCTGCGAGCTCTTGTGCACCTCCCCGGGGCTGCGCCGCCGCTCCACGCCGTTCTCGGCGGCGCCGGCGGCGCCGGCGCGCACCACGCGGCACGGCAACCCCGCGTCGCTCGCCTGCGCCTGCCGGTACACCTCCGGGTGGCACGCCTGCAGGTGCGAGCGCAGCGAAGCGAACGTGCGAAAGGTGCCTTGCGCGCACAACGTGCACAGGATCTTGTCGCGTTTGTCGACGGCGCCGCCGCTGACGACGATGCCGACGCTGCCGCCGCCGCCGCCGCCGCCGAGGTCGCCGAGTTCCGACGGTGGCGGCGGGGAAGGAGATGGAGACGGGGAGAGGGAGGGGCCGTGCCTCTCGCCGGCGCACGGCGCCCGCGGCTGGGAGCTGCCGCCGGAGCCAGCGTCGCCGCTTAGACGATCGCCGAGGGTCTGGACGGGCTCCGGCGCCGTCGTGCAGCTTTGCTCAGAGTCTGCGATTTCGCAGGCGACACCGGGTGAAAGTTAAGCCATGCGTGTATATTTTTTTCCCCCGTGATATTTTTTGTATTTTTAAAACGTTCATTATCTCTCTGCGCATTTCCCCGCATCGCCCGACAAGTTTGTAATTCCCTCCAAACGTTCTCTTCTTTTTCGAGGTCTCAATTCGGGAATGTATATTCACTCTTATAATCCATCACACCTTCAACAGTGCTGTTTGCGGCTGGCCGCTTGGCATTATGCGCCTGTGAACATTAACGGTCAATATACATACCGCAACACAAAGTTGGTACGTACCACGACAGGATGGTGTCTTGCCGTCGGCCACACGCGTCTCGCACGGATTTGTGGGAGTGGAGTCTGTTGAGGACGTCTCAGCCATAGACAGCTGCAGAGCGCAGGCAAACACGCACACGCACGCAGATCCCCTGTTTAGACACGCAGTGGTGCTGTTAGCGGGCACCTATCAAGATCGGCGCGGCCAACAGCACGACCCCGGCGTTGATGGTTACACACCGCGTCAGGTGGCCGCTTAAGGCTGAGCTCACCTAGAGGAGACCTACGGGACGGGTTCAAACATTCGCCACTTTTCGTCGTTCGCGAGCGGGGATCGGGTCGCCAGGTTTGTCGCCCCAGTGCGCGAACACGGACGCCCACACACTCGCGCGCGCACACAGACACGCACACACAGACACGAGTGGCGTAGTGCTCCAACACAGACGTGCACACTTGCGCGCACACAGAAACGCGTAGCGCAGCGCCGCCGCGCATCAATGCTCGCCGTCGATTACCCCCGGCAGGTTGAGCGCTCGCTTACAGTCACCGGCGGTTTTCACTCCCCCCTCCGCCCGCCACCTCTGCCAGCGAATGGCTCGGCGCGCACCGCAACCCTCCGCGGCAATTTATCCCCGACGTTCCGCTCATTACGCGAGGCCTCGTTAGGGCCAACGACGCATCCCCCCGGCACGTGTGGGTACAGGGCGGCTTCGTCGGTAATTAGCGCGGACGTGCGGCGGCCCTGCAGGTGCCACCTCCTTCTCCCTGCTCCCTCTATCCTACCTCGCCTGGTATGTAAGGAGGTTGTGGGCTCGATCCCGACCCTGACGCCTGCTGCTGTATATTTGGAGTTTGCGCGTCTCTCTGTCTCTCTTCCCGTGGTCGCGTTGATCTTTCTCCGGGTCCTCCGGTTTTTCCCTCCACATTTAGAATCAACGTCCACGCGTTCAGAGAATTTGGCAGCTATACATTCCCACGTGATGATGATGATGATGAGCCACTTCGTCGAGCTATCGTTTGTGTGGCCAGGTCGCTTCTGAATAATGGCTATATACCGTAGCTCAGTGGGCCTTCCCTGTTCAAATAAAAGTTTCCTATCTTCCCCACATAAAAGTACAGATAGTCGCTCGTGGTCCCCACTTGGGTGGGTCAGAGAGCCCAATCTCGTCCCCTTCTCTAAACCTCATTTCAATAAGAGGCCCGGTGCTCAAGATGCAACAAGATGCACGCGTGCCGAGTCCATATCGGCTGTGGGTAGCGCTGGGCAAAAAATATTACTTTGTAAATTGAAATACGGACATCGTCGTCATAACCGCCAGCCGTGGTCTATCCCAACCCCCCCCCCCCTCCCCCGCAAGCCACCGCCAACTCTCGCGGTCTCGTGATGCAAGAACCCGTCCGTCTAAGCTGCCGTGCGCGAGACAATCCTAACCCTCCCAACTCGGCGGCGAACGTCACCTCCGGAGCGTGCCTCCCTCGTCGGCAGTGCCGTTCCCTTCGAGCCACGGCGCGCGGCCTTGCCCAAGGCCACTCAAACTTTTTCCCGACGGTCCAGACGGTGCCTCCGCATTTTCCCCAATCCGAGCGTGTGTTCCGCTCCCCGTATCTCCAAAGACTTTAAATCCAGCAGTGCAAATGATTGCGGCTGATACTGATGGTGATGATGCTGAAGTAGTGGATAAGAAGGAGAAAAGGCTTCTGAAAAATTAATTAATACTTCAGTGGGCTTTGCCTGGTAGGATGGGGATGGTTCAGTGTTGTATTGTGTTTGTGTGCTTTGTTCACCTTCCTCATACTTTGCACTCCTGTCGTGTTTTCGTAACTGTCTGTTGTTGTGACGTTCTTACCCGTCTCTACTGGACATCTGTGAAGAGGAGCTTTATAGCTCATTGGATTCCTCCAGTATAAATAAACATTCTGATTTTGATTCCGAATAATTACAGCGAGGGATAAGATGTTCAAACACCAAGCAGACACCGATGACAAGTCATCAGGTCTGCATTCACCGCACATGCTTGCCGTAAAACATGCAAACAAACATGCTTTGATAATCTACGCACTGTCCTTTAAACGGATTGGCCTGCAGCACCAGAGACGCCAGCTTTTTATGGCTTTGTCTCGCCGGTGCTATCGAGCAAAAGGCGAACACAGCACAAGGACAATGCAAACGCCACAGCATTAATACGCTCGGGTTAAGCAGTTATATCTACGGGATCCTATTTGCTAGCATCAAGCATTTTACTTTTTTTTTACATCATCTTGACACCGGCAAAAAGAAAATGTCCCAGAGATAGAAGAAGAGTCTTTTGCTTTGTCTGTGGGGATGCTCGCTTACCGCAAACTCGGATTGGCAACGGGGCCGGGCGTTTTACTTGCGACGCGTCTCCTGAAAATTAGATTTCCCGTTTTCCTTCGGAATCTGAACATCAAAAGTCACCTCTGCCCCCCCACCACCACCGCCGCCGCCGTGTGCCAGAATCTTCCTCCTCCCGCCTCCGCGGGTTTTTTTCAGCGCCCCAATCACGCCGCTAATGACGAACAAGAAGCAGGCAAGTGCGTCGGCTCCCAAGAAATAATGAACCGATTTTATCCAATTAAGAGGCACTCAAACGTTCTGACTTAATGGGCCCATATTTTCTTCCGGATAAAGATGAAAGGAATGCGAACGAGACGGCGAGAATCTTAAACAGGCGGGCAAATAGCGCGCAGCGGCCGGCGGCGGCGAGAGAGAAATTAAAAAAATAAAACTACACAGCACCTAACGGAAAAATAATTAAGCTTCGCGAAGGAAAACACAATTAAGCATCTTTCGAATTTATTCCGGCAAATACGCCAATTAGCTAATTACCGCGCATTAACAATGCATAATGTGTGTACTCGCTCACGGCGCGTGTGGGGCAAAGTGACCAGCATTCCCCCCCCCCCCCTCCCGTTCGTTCTCTGCACAGGGGGAAATTGTCCCTGGCTAAGGATGATCGCTAATTGGCCACGAGGTTGGGCCGTTCTGTGCGGGGCTCCGAGGAGCCTCTCACTGCGCTTCCCGTGGCGACCGAGACTTGCCGCCCCCACCCCCCCACCCCGCTCATCGGCACGACGTCCCGACGGTTTTCGCTCCGCCACGCGGCCGGGAGCGAAACGCCGGACGTAGTTTTGGCAACACGGTGCCTTCTTTCGGAATAGCCAAGATCGCATCTACGCACTGAAAGTTGCGCTCTCAAATTTGCCCTGCTTGAGTTTTCGTTAGTTTAGTTTATGTTCATTTGACCATTTAGGTTTTTTTCCTTTATTCTTATTTCTTCGGGTGTCCATGTACGCGTTTATACATTCGCCACGCGCTGCATTGCCCAACTCTTCTCGGCGCTATTTAATTCCGCCATGGACACACGTTCTCTGGCGCAGGCCAACTTGCACGCGGCCGTCATGTTCAATTAACGTGAAGGTCAACGACAGGGAAGCCTCACCGAGTGTTTATCTCCAATTCTAATATCAGCATCACGTTATTGAGATACGGCATTCACCCAGTGCAAGAGCAACGGCCCGCAAAAAGCAGATATCATGGAACTACTTCTGAGATCTCATTCAGATACCTCGAATACTCTTTGCCTGCGTTGCAATCGCAATATCGTGATCTATTATTTTTCTATCTACGTGACTTTACGGAAAGACCCAAAGAGTATGAATTCCTGCAGTCAAGAAAGCTTTAAATCAAGGGGTGCCGCACTCTCCCACCCACCCTGTAATAGAATATCCATTGTGTGCCTGTCAAAGCAAAATTGTTTAACTCCCAGAGCTGCGGAACCTACGCCGTGGGCAGCAGGGGACAGGGCAGCAATGTACGTCGTTGCACTACACCGCTACGCTCCCAGACCTGCGCTCCCCTTACATTCACCAACCCGCACTGACCAGCGTTGACAAAACAACCTCAAGCAACAGACAGATCTCAACCACAGTCTCCAGCGTGTGTTGCCCGCGTGGCCTGGAGAGAATCTAAAGCCAGCAGCGGAAAGACAGAAAAGGCTGTCCTGCGTATGGCTGCCATCATCGTCGCCATCATCGTCGCCATCATCGCCATCGCCGTTCCACGTCACGACTCCTAGCTACACCACGTGCGGTGGGTAACTCTCTTCACTCTGGCCACTTCCCCCCCTGCACAGTTCCCCATCCGCCACGACCTCTAACCACACGCCGATCCCGGAGGACGCTCGCCCGACCCGCTGGCCAGCCAGCTCGCCCCGCCGGTCCGGTCGGCCGGCTCGCTTGCTCACCGCGGCGATGATGCCGGCGATGCAGCCGCGCGCGACGCTGTGCTTGCGCGACAGGTGGGCCTCCAGGCGGCTCTCGCTGCCCAGCGAGTCCTGGCACAGGGGACATCTCAGCGACCTCGCTTCCACGGGCCCGGCCACTACCGCCACCGCCGCTACAGTCACCGGAGCCTCCTTGCTGTCGCCGTCAACCTGCGGGGGGTGGGGGGGGGGGGGAAGGTAAAGATAAAGCAACGGTGCTGGGAAGAAAACAAGTCTTTCTTTATTGTCTTCAAGGCTGCGATAATTCATTTTAACCGACTAGCCACACTTGATTAAACTTAATTTTCTTTGTGCAGTCATTGGTGACACTGAGCCGAGACCATCAGCTCCGCTATCTTGAGAACCTAGCTTAACTACGGGCAGTTGACACCGAGGAGCGCAGCGGTAGGAACTCGGCATCATACGACCTCTGAACCACGCGGTCGCCTCCGCAAATGTTTTTTTTTCCCCACCGAATTAACGTCGGCACTTGAGAAGCCACGGGCGTCCAAGCCCGTTGTTCAATCTCTGGAATTTCGATTTAAAGCTTTCGTGACTGCAAGGATTCATCTTCTTTGGTTCTTTCGGTAAAGTCACCACGTAGAATGAGAATAAAATAATAAATTGATAAAATAAAATAACACAATAATATTCTCACGGCGTTTCGGCCACAACACAAGGTGAAGGGATGAGACTGTCTGGTAGGACAGCGCTGTTCTACCAGACAGTCTCGTCCCTTCACCTGATGAAGGCCGCTTGTGTTGTGGCCGAAACGTCGTGAGAATATCATTGTGTTATTTTATTTTATCAATTTATTATTTTATTCTCATTCTACACAAGGTGAAGGGATGAGACTGTCTGGTAGGACAGCGCTGTCCTACCAGACAGTCTCGTCCCTTCACCTGATGAAGGCCGCTTGTGTTGTGGCCGAAACGTCGTGAGAATATCATTGTGTTATTTTATTTTATCAATTTATTATTTTATTCTCATTCTACGTGACTTTACCGAAAGAACCAAAGAAGACAATCTCTGGAACTCGGGTGCCCGGCTCTCCGAGTGACACGGCCAATGCATCTGAGAACTCTGTTTATTCGCGGGCATTCCAAACGCAGATTCTGAGCCCAGGAAGTCGGCGCCGGGAGACACGGCTAATATCTACCGCTAAACCCCCGAGTGGCTGTGGGCACGGCGCCAAGGAGATTGCTCGGTCACGAGATGGATTTCAGAGTTCATCTGCACCTGGCATCAATGGCCATGGTGGCATCAGCGCCACTTTAATCACCCCCGTATCTTTTAGTAAGACTTTTCCAACACGGGGCTTAAGAGAGCCTTTGCACTCCATCAGGCCGTCTGTATAACTCCGTCGGGGCCGTCTGTAACGGGGAGGCTGTGGGACACGCGATAACTCCCCGTAAGTGCGATCCATTCAGAACCGAGAACCAAAAAATACACGCGGAGCCGACAGAGAAATTCCCCGTCGTGGAATCGTCCTAAAAACTCAGGAGACGGACGGGCGCTGGAAAGCGTTACGTAAAGACCCTTGCGTACGCGCGACCATCGCCAAAAGTTGTTTACCCGACGGCGTCTGCTTGGCAAGGGGCGCCCCTTGCCGAGCGCGACGTCCAATCGCGTTGCATGCGGCCCCCGCGAGCGTCCCGCAGGGGGGCCAAATTTGGTTTCCAGCCCCCCGTGTGAAAGGCGGCTGAAGGGAGCAGCCCTGCCACGTGTCGCTCGCGCCGCCGCTGCCGGAAGGAGGGCCTCTTGCCAGAGGGAGCGCTTCGCAGACGGGGTGTTTGGCCTACTCTTCCGCGTTGGTCAGACGTCTTGGGGAGGGGGGTTGGGGAGTACCCACACTTTACGTCACCACACGTGAACCCACTTTGGCGAGCCAGGTCGCCCTCTGTCGAATGAGGCTAAACCTGGGTCTCTTTGAGCGAACGCATTTCTTCCGCTGGGTGGACAGAGGCGTTGGGCGGAGATTTTAACGGCCTCGCCGGGTGATGGAGTCGAACCGGCGACCTCCGGACTGCGTGCTGACCGTCACACACTGCAGCAGTGCCGAATTAGAATGTTGCGTTCGGCACGGCAAGCCTCAAGTCGTTGGCACGTTTTGTTTTACCGTCGTAAAAAAAAAAAATCGCACAAATGGTCGATGACATATGGCTGTCTAAAATATTCTCGTGGAGGGGAGGGGCGGGTTGGGGGGAAGATGGGGGGAGGCCCCCCCCACCGCCCCCTCCCGGTTTGTCTCTCCACGCGGCCTTTGTGTTTGCATTTATCTCTAACATCGACCAGGTGGCTCACACGTTCCATTGCCCGCCAGAGACGTATTTTTCTAATGAATATAGATTCACATTCGAAGCGAACACGAGATATATATTACAGAAAAAAAAGCACCGCGCACTTCCGCAACATGTTTAGAGTTTAAACGGAGCGCCGGCATGTGGGAAAATCACGAATTCTGCCATCGTCTCCGCCGTTGGGGCAGGCCGCAGCCGCGACCGTAGCTTTTCATTACCGTTCGCGGGAGCGCGGGCGCACGCACGCAAGCACCCGCAAGCACACGCAAGCACACGCAAGCACACGCAAGCACGCGCATGCACGCGCATGCACGCGCGGGCACGCGTCCACGCGCCCATGTATTCTTTACGTCCACTCTTAGCCGAATGTGCACGCGACGAGAGCGACAGAGAGCGGCTGCTCGCGAAATGATTTGCACATTTTTATTCGAATTAAAAGCGCTCTCATTTATTACTTATTGATTCCGGACCCGAATGTCCCCGTTATATTCTAATTGCACATTTTAAACGGTCGCTCGTCGTTTGGACCCCCTAATGATGCATTAACCTTCCTGCCTTCCGACTTATTTAATTTCACCGGGCAGGCGGGCAGACACGACGAGACAGATACAGCCACCCCCCCCCCCCCCCCCCACCACCACCACTCTCCCCCCCCACCTCAGACAACGCTGCCCGACAAAAGACAGCAAGGGCTGGGGAGTGGTGGCGCAGTGATCAGCGCCAATGCCACCGCGCTAAAACCCCGGCGGTGACCACAGTTTGATTCACAGTGGGGGGGGGGGGGGGGGGGGAGAGGCATTTGTCCAGCATTAGAGTGTGCTGTACTAGTAACAGATTGGCACGTTTATTTTACGTGACAAACCTTACGAATTGGCTGTGTCGGGTGGTGGCGGGTTTAACTACACATTTCTATATTCAAACGATCTAAACCAAATAAACCTCCATCATGGATAACATTGGTCACGAAAGCACTACTACCGCTGCTACTACTGCGTGTTAAACTAAACTGTCATGGGTCGCTTGACTGGGCGCTGCAGACTCTTCCATATAAACAGCTCGTTAATTGCCTTCGAACGCCTTCATATATAGAGGACCGCAGAGCTTGGTGAGGAGGGCCTTCCCCGCTCGCTCGCCTGTGGATTTTCCGGGGGCGCCTCCTTGTGAGCGAATGGCGTGCGACGGCTCCGTCACAAGATTAAATGATCATTTGTATCATATTGCCACGGAGAGTGAATATTTTTTAAGACGATTCGTTTACCTTTCCTCTGCACTTTGCGCTCCCGATTGTTTGTTGCTGTAACGTTCCGACCCAGCGCCCCTGCTGGACGTCCGCGGGAAAAAGAGCGTGACAGCTCATCGGATACCTCCAGGATAAATAAAATATTCTGATGCTGATTATTCATGGTGCAGTGCGCTCACCTCTGTGCCACCGTTCCCCGTTCGCCCCCCCCCCACCCCGTCCCCCCTTAGTGTGGGTTGCGTTGACGTAAAAACACAAATGATGTCACCGCTAAGACTGCGCTCTGGGGCGCAGGTGCACGCGGAAGCTACTGGAAACGACCAATTAAGACTAAATGCTGCCGCGGTCTACAGGCATGTACAGACTCACTGCTACGCCCCCCCCCCCCCCCCCGAATGTGATGGGATAATAAGTCAACGCAGGGGAAGGTCACGATTTGTCTGTACCATCCAGTCTGCTTTGTCCGTCTCCCCCTGTGCTGCCCGTACCGTCCGCGGCACGTGCCGCTTGCCCCGTTTGCAGGCACTTAAACGGCGGACGCGGCAATCAAAGCGCCATCGATGGAAATCTTTCCTGAGGCTTCCCCTCCGCGCTCGCACGTCCGCGCTGAACTCCGCTGCCAGGTTTGTCCTTCGTCCGGGCAGAACCGGCGCGGCGGCGGCAATGGCTGCGCGTCATCTCCCCCCGTCTCACGGTCGCGCGTCATCTCCCCCCGTCTCACGGTCGCGCGTCATCTCCTCCCGTCTCACGGTCGCGCGTCATCTCCTCCCGTCTCACGGCAGCGCATCATCTCCCCCCCCGTCTCACGGTCGCGCGTCATCTCCCCCCATCTCACGGTCGCGCGTCATCTCCCCCCGTCTCACGGTCGCGCGTCATCTCCTCCCGTCTCACGGTCGCGCGTCATCTCCCCCCGTCTCACGGTCGCGCGTCATCTCCTCCCGTCTCACGGTCGCGCGTCATCTCCCCCCGTCTCACGGTCGCGCGTCATCTCCCCCCGTCTCACGGTCGCGCGTCATCTCCCCCCGTCTCACGGTCGCGCGTCATCTCCCCCCGTCTCACGGCAGCGCATCATCTCCCCCCGTCTCACGGTCGCGCGTCATCTCCCCCCCCGTCTCACGGCAGCGCATCATCTCCCCCCATCTCACGGTCTCGCATCATCTCCCCCCCCGTCTCACGGTCTCGCATCATCTCCCCCCGTCTCACGGTCTCGCATCATCTCCCCCCGTCTCACGGCCACGCATCATCTCCCCCCATCTCACGGTCTCGCATCATCTCCCCCCATCTCACGGCGAGTGACCGCGTGGCGACGAGGGGGCGCGGAGAGAGACGAAGGAAAATGATCCCGTGCCAGACGCCCGCCGTCTGGTGCGATCTGCCGGACGCTTTCATCGCCGACTAATTAAGATTCCCCTTTGTAGATGGGCGCTCGCCTCTACACACTCCACTTATCCATCAGGAACCGATGAAATTATTTGAAGCTGCTTTAAAAGGAAATTGAATTTAACGTCTCCCCCCCCCCACCAAACCCGACTGCCACCCACCCCACCCCTGCCGCTCCCCGCCCTCCCCCCGTTCAATCTGCCACTCTGCACACGATCCCAACTCGTTTCTGTGGCTTGTTATATCCCGCAGGACCCTGAGAGATGGCAGACAGCAGCGGATAGATCACGGCTGCTGGTCATCACGGTGATGATGAACTCGTGCGCCCCCGCGGCTCTTTCGGCGTGACGCAAAAGCGACCACGGTGAGATGGGAAACGCTTGCGACACGTGACCCTTATGACGGCACCCCGGGGTCCCGAATAAACGCTAATCAAAATTGTAAAGAATTTTTTTTATTTTTGGAGACTCCGTCCCACACCTCGCACACAAACGCCGCGACCCACCAGAAATCAATCCTCTCGTTCTTCACCAAGCACCCGTCGTTGCCAAAATTGCCGTAGTCACAAACAAAACTTTGATTTAGCGCATCGTGTAGAGTTCGTCGAGAGGAATAGATTGCCGTATCGTTCGCCTTCAACAGACATTAAATGACGTCGCAACGCAGTTCATGCGAGAGCCGGGGGCTTATGGGATCCCGGGCTCCCGCCATAAGGTTCAAGTACTGTATGGTGGAATGGTGGCGATGGGGTTAGTGCGCGCCGTACTACGAACTCGGCGGCCCGAGTTTTAATCCGGGCAATGACTAGAAGCAGTCGAGAGTGACATCTGAACCGAGCAGCATGGTGAAGTACGGTCAAACAACCCCCACGACCGACGTGCCATCGGCAGGCCTTTATTCAGCGGTCGATTGACAGGGGGCATTAAAGTATTTTAATGATAAAAAATTTTATTTCAACGTAAGCGTGCGTCCTGCGACGCGGGATGATAATTATGACGTGTAGCATCCCTGCAGCTCCAGCAGTCCTACCCACGGGAGGGCAGAGGTGATGGGTGACGACGATCACGGCCGTTCAAGGCAAGTTGGGCTTCTTAGGGACCCACTATGAATGGCGGAGGCTCACGGAGCCACAGACGCAGGGCACCTGAATCACTCTCCGGCTTCACCCTCTGTGTCTGAGGCTGACAGCCAAAGGCACCTGCTGCTTTAGGGTTCTCAGGATGCATCGTTAGTTCCTGTGGTTCACAGAGCCAGTTTTGGCACAACCCTTACGATTCAATCCGCCCGCCCGACGAGGTTCATCGCCGAGTTGGCGATTCAAAATCGGTTATTGCGATCGGAATAAGGCGCCTTGAGGATTCAAAAGGCGTCGTCGCGAACACCCGAGGCTCGGAGCACTAGGCCCGACACTGAGAGTTCCAGAGAACCAGGTGAATGGCTCACACGGGACTAAAATCAAAGAACGTTATCGGTACAGAGGCTCCCACGGGGCAACGCACGGGAGTGGCGCGCGGCACAGCTTGGCGCCAGCTATCGTTAGTGCGCGGGTCGTGTCGCTACGGTTCTCTGCGGCGAGTTCGACGTCTCGGAAAACGACGGCGCCACGCCTCTCGAAATAAAATGAACGCCGAGCCGCTCGTGCGCTCCGAGGGTCGGGGTGGGTGAACGGGATCCCCCACCCCGCGACTTGCAGCCGTCTCAGAACGGGAGAGGGGTCAGAAGGGGTCAGAAGGGTTCAGAGCGTCGTCGGCGCCCTCGGTCCACACGTCGACCGCGCCCGGCACGATCGACGGGCGCGAGCCCCGCGGGTTTCGTCACCTGCACGAGCCTCCCCTCGCCGTTCTGCGACGCCCTCGGCCTCTTGGTGGGTAGCGCCGCGTCCGACGGAGGGCTGCCCCTGCCTCCCTCCAGCAAGCGCTTGGCTCGGCTTAGCTGCTGGTGCTGCCGCTGGGACGCGAGGTCACTGGCCCCTGCAAGGAGAGAGGGCGCCACGGGAAGACGAGGCGGTAAACTCAGGAGAGGAACGCGGGGTTTCCGGTTGAAGTCGCTTAACCGGATGAGGAACTCGGAGACCGGGGGGACGAGTCTCATCTTCAAGAGCGGCCCGGGTCACCAAAGTGACAGAAGCAATCACGCAAAAAGCTCAGCACACAAACTAATAAGCGGTGAAGGAGTTCGATAGTGCAGACAGAAATTGGGGCAAAGATGACCAAGTGAAAGATAGCAAATCGGGCAAATGGTGTACAAACGAATCGGTGTTGCAACGAAATAAAATTCCCCCGACGAAAGTCTGCTCGGGAAAATAACTTGGGAAATCACGCGCGAGGGGTAATGAACGGCGGAAAAGATCGGAAGGAGACGACACAGACGCTGAAGAATTGCGGAGCGGCGATGTGGCCACCCGGCGGTTAAAAATCCGCTCCTGCGATCGCGACGCAGCACGCCGAGATGAGCACGCAGCAATCCATTACTGACAATTCACACCGATTAAATATTCAGCTTTGGGAGGCCTTAACCTAGCAGTGGATAGATGACAGCCTATCGCGACGATGATGAAAAGCCAAATGCCAAGTTTGGACCCAACGGGGGGGGGGGGGGGGGGGGTCAAACAAACCTGGACAAATTGACACAGAGCAGACGGCAAAAATTTACCACCAAGAGCAAATAAGTTTAAATCGATTCTTGAATGTAGACGCCCGTTCCGAATCGTGACAAATCATCCAAGTGCGGGGAGAGGAGAGCGATGGGTTATCCCGTGCGCGCGTCGTTAAGAGGCTCGTTATTTTAGGGTTCCGTTAAAATATTACTGTTTATATTTTTTTTGTTTTCCCCCACCGCAACGAAATGGGGTTGTGGGATGCACGGAAAACCAAGGCGAGCCCTAAAATAAAAATAAATAATAAACACGTGTTCTCACCGCTGTCCGGCAGACTCCTCACGTCGGCATGGTGCAGCTGGCCAGACAGGGCGCATGGCGTGACGTCCGCACGCTGCTGAGAATCGTCTGCAAATGCAACACACGGGCAGGCACGGGTGGAGTTAGAAAATGTTTAAAACACACATGTAGAAAAAAATGAAAACAAATCAATGTCGATAATATAAAAAAAAAATGCAACAATCAAAAAAATCCGTACATCTGCACAATTAAAATTTGAAGACCAGCGATTTTTTTTTTTTTGGGTACGCACGGAGTGGCTGCAATAACAGGCAGCGCCGGGCGCGCGTGCATTTATACAGCGCCCCCCCCCCCCCCCCCCCACTCCTTCCCCCCCCTGATCGCGTATGGAGAACGGCGAGCAGTCTGAAAGATTTGTAAATGTGGGATGCGATGTCACAGGTGATTCCAAGCGCGGTTGAGCATGAATTGAAAAGTGCAATAACGCGAATGGATTTCTTCTCGCACAACAACAGCAACAAAAAAATAAAACGGGCCGGGGATCGGCGTAAGATGTCACGGCGCTTGGCAGCCTTGCGGAATTAACTATGCCTCCGAGTTAGCTTCATGCATTAATGCGCGCGCGTAGCGCCGTGCACTTTCGCAGCCCTGCAGGCGAAATTCATATTCACAACGCCGGCCGGCCACCGCCGCCACAGCCATCGCGGCACGTCCTCCGCAATATTGCTTTTGTCGTTTAGAAAAATATGCTAGAAGATGCGTGTTATCTTTTATTAACTTTAAATAAATAAAAACAAATTATCGTTTTTTTTTTGTTTGCGGGCGTGTAAAAGAACGAACGCGCGCCCCACGCGATTTGATTTCTTTTCCCAAAACCGCCGCGTGGTTTTTATTGAATAATTGGTTAACTTCCTTACTTAAGCGAACGAGAGAAACGCCGCGTGCGTCCGAGCGGACGAATGTCGCGGAGGTGGAGCGACGAGATCACCGGTTCAAGTGTACGAGTGACACGGGCGGACGGTGGAGGCACTGGGCCGTGATGGGATGATGATGGCGTGCGGAGGCTTTCGTCCCAGTGGTGGACAGACAATAGCTGATGACGACGATGACGATTGGCTGCGTTTACTCGACAGCCGATGTGAGATGTGAAGGATGCGATGGTATTTGCCGCAAAACATTCGGGGACAGGGAAGGGCATCCCGCGGTTTAACAGAGCACAGTGTGGCGACGGTGCGAATTATCACGTCCCTTTCTTTGACAATGTGCCTGTAGGAGACACGGTACAGCAAGTAGGTTTGGGCCAATGTTCTCCCCCTTTGGATGGGGGACTGCTTGGGAGTTACAGGTGTCATAAGGTCCCACACACACACACGCACGCACACGCACGCACGCACACACACGCACGCACGCTCACACACGCACGCTCACACGCACTGGTGTTGTTGACAAATGTATCGAGTCTCTGCGACCGTGTGCAGAGCCAATTAAGGAATTCCTTAGGCAGGTGAACTCCGTTTGTGACTGGCGATGAGCTTGCTGTCGGAGTTGGGTTGGGCAGATTTATTTGCAGGCAGAGAGAGGGTGGCGTGGTGAGGGAGTCCTAAGCCGGTCAAAGATGACTGAACCAAAAAAACAACACATTAAATGGAAGAATAGGCAATACCCCTCTTCTTATTTTTTCGTCACTTTTGATACTAACAAAAATGTCCCAAAGACACATTAAATGTAGTTCCTCACTGAACTGCATCGGTGTGCCTGCCACGCGGAAATCTCATATCCACCAATACGTTAAAAAAACATATATCGAATTCAAAACAAGGAGGGTCCTATCCATGGGACCCTTTTGCCATTCATCAAGATGATTAAAAACAGGAAAGCCATTACCTTTCTGGCATAAATAGGGTCCCACAGATATAACTGCTTAATGCGAGCTACCAATGCCCTGGAGTTGGCATTGTCCTTGTGCTTTTCATCTTTTTGACGTTCGTTGCTCGATAGCACCGGTGAGACAAGGCCGTAAAAAAATAGCTGCAGGTCACTCAGCTTCAAGGATAGTGAACACATCATCAAAGCATATTTGTTTGTACGTTTTACCGCAAGTACGTGTGGTTGGCGCAGACTAAATTGCCTTGTAGTAAAGGCCTCTCTCGTTGGTGTCTGACCACCGAAACGCCCCCCCCCCCCCCCCCCGTATTTATGCCACAAAGGGTGAGTGACAGGCCCGATAAACACGTGCAGAGAGTTACAAACGTCCGTTTTTTTGCCATCACGCTGTTGCCCTTCCCCCGCATCTCCGATTAGCACGGTTGGCTATGTACGGTGCGAAAAGAAGTTTCACGTACGTATATACAAGCGACCACGGCTGGGAATATGGGCCAGAGGAAGCTATGCCGTGCGAGGGCCCCGGATGGAGTTTTTCGCCCTGGAAACAACAACTCATGCCGGTAGCAAAATCGTGATGAAATTGAGGGCACTCAATCAATTTAAATTTTTTTAATGTGTCCATTCTAACGCTGGGCAGAGAGGTGGGCAAAATGCACCAGGGGGGAGACGGAGTGGGGGGAGGAGCGAGCTCAAGAGTTCTGAGGGGCCAGACAGAAAAACAAACACAGACGCGAAAAGTGGCTGTGCTTTCATGTGATACCTGCCGGGCTGCTGCGCGTGGGGGAGGGTGACGCGGGGGGGGGGGGAGAATTATCAAAACACCGCCCGAATTTCTGTTGCAGCTGTGTGCGAGTGCTGCCTTTGTTCGTCTCCTTTCTGTTGCTTTTATAGGGGTGTGGGGTTTTTTTTTTTAAACATATTTTTTTTTCAAAAAATACTCTTCCATTAGCTCGCGCGTGTTTTCCCCTCCCCCCGCCCGCGCACACGGGACGGACGCAAGCGGACCGCCAAACGACGTGTCTTCGTTTCTCTCTTAATATATGGACGTGGAACAACAAATTATAATAATGATGATGATCTATAACGCGCTGCCGATCCAAGAGGCTTCAACATCAATCGAATTCTGCCAACTTTTTGAGAAGAAAGCGGGGGGGGGGGGGGGGGGGGCTGGAGGAAGAAGCAAGATTTGTTTTTACTATTGCTGCCACTGCTGAAACATCTTGCAGTCAAACAGCGTCCTGCTTTGCGGGCCTCAAACTTGGACATGTTAATTGTCTTCAGCCGCTAAACAAACACCGCCCGCCCCCCCCCCCCCCCCCCCCAAACTCGCCCACTCCCACCAACTCCGTGTAGGCATCAGGGCTCAACGACAACAAGACATTTTCACGGAACGTGGTTTTTCTTTTTTTAAAGCCAGAGAAGGAAGAAACACCGCCGCAGCGTATCCCGCACGCAAACCACCCCACCTCCTCGGCGTGTCTCGACTCGCGCGATCGCTCTGAAAACCCACATACCTTGGCGATTGGCACAACTCTTTAATTGGCTCGGCAGGAAAGAGGAGACCCCCCCCCCCTCCCTCTCACCCACTCCAAAGTTCTCGACAAAACAAAACGGTGACTTCGCCGTGCGGACTAAGGCCCCCCCCCCGCCACCCACCCCTTCCCCGCGCGAGCTACCGCCGGCCTGCACCGGGAGCGCCTCTTCGTGAGTCGCTTTCCTTCCAAGACGTGTGCCCCCCACCCCCCCCCCCCCGACCGTCCCCACGCGTCTCTCGCACGAGCGGCAACCGCTCCCCCCGTTCACCCGCAACAAACGCGTTCCAGTTGTTCGGCCGGGGGTGCGGGAAGCGGGGGGGGGGAGGTGAGGGGAGGCGTAAAAGACGTGAACGCGCTAAGTTTTTCGACGGATAAGTGTGGACGCACGCAGCCACACACACAAAAAAAAAACGGGGAGCCGGGCGTGGAGAGTCAGATAATGGCTGCGCCTACCCCCACTGGCAGTCACCCGAACCCAACCCCACCAAATCTCCCCCCCCTCCACACCCCATCATCCCCCCACTGCCGTCACCACCGCCCGCTACTGCGGCTTGCCTTGACTCTGAGCCAGACTCTCAGCCAAACTTGGGGTGCGGTGGGGGGTGGTGGTCGGGTGGGTGGGATTGATGTCGCAGATTTCCAGGTCACACCGAGGGTCATGTAACTGGCCCAGCCAATGGAATTATCTGTAAATCTCTTAGCCCGCGACGGATAGCAACAAGCCTTACTATTGGCAAATCACTTAACGCGATCAATTTCTGATTTAAAGACTCCCGGCCCAATGGGAGCCTGGGACAAAGAAGGAAGAGGCGGGGGGGAGAGATGGGAGGGGGGAGGTTACTGCACTCGCTGGACTTGCCACTGACAACTGCACAGGCAGGGTTGCACACACGCCCACATCTATCAACTTGTGCTGACACAACGTAAAACACATACATCAACAGGCCTCACGTTCTCCCTCTCGACGCACACACGTACACAAAACATCGACCGATTATTGCCTCTGCCCCCCCACCGTGATCATTGCTATCCGATTGCAACGGCGTTTGCTCAAGCGAACTAACCGCTTGCGCACCGGCTCCCACCTCATGTGGTCTCATCAGCGGTGTCTTGCTTAACGCAAACGCTGCCCGGTTTTTTTTTTCCCCCTCCGGTATGTCATTTCGTTGGCACCCTCCGTTCTCTACACGATGGGAGGTCGCGCCCCTCGTTCAACGCAAGCAGCGAGAGAGTAGACGAACCCACGATGCCGTGGTCGTTCCTTCAGTTGGGACCGCAGGGGCCCACTCTGTGGCTCGCCTGTGTAACTGCCGCGCGCTGGAAAGTTCAAGTACCGAGCGTCCACATTGCCGCCGGTGAGGTCTAACCGGTGATCTGGCGAGAGCGCTGCTACTGCGTTGGCAGTGGTGCAAAAGCACAGCGAACAAAAAAAATAAATAAATCTCATCTCGACACGTTTGTTAACAACACTGGGCATTAAACGAAAAATGCATAGGTGACATTCGCCCTTCTTAATGTGTCACGAAGTAGGGACCCCGCCCGAAACGTCGCCTATTAAAGCTATGGGGGGGGGGGGGGGGGTCGATGCGATATAATTTGTAACCATACGACATGACGCGATATCACGTTGCGTGATTGTGACGGTTGTCACAATCGCGAGTGTCCTCCCCCCCCCCGACCGTTGTAAGA